GCCGGTTCCTTTAGTCCACCTGCTCCCTGCCGCCACGTGTCACTTCCACACTTTGAGGATTTGACCTGCCCTCTCTCCTTTATCCCCTTCAGCCTTGTACTCCAAGGACTCCTGCTGGTCTCCGCCTTGATGTTCCACCTTTCTGGTTAATTTCAGTTTTGTGTTTTTAATTTTTTTGATGTTTTCTTGCCATGTTTCTAGTTTCTCTATACAGTGTATCCCTATTACTAATAATCAGCCAATAAGGTTCCATCGTCTGAATAAGCCCCATACTGCTTAAAGCTCTCCCTGCCACCTTCCCCCCTTGGTATTTTTGGTTATAAAGTAGAAGTTAGAAGTTAAATCTGATTTAAGACTGCTTGATTCCTAAGATTCATGTCCCATGTCTTATCTTTTGCAGAGCCCTGGTTCACAGTAAGAATAATTGAAGTAATTTGGTTTAAATCATGGTGCAGTAGAAGCATAGGCAGGTCTCTGCCTTTGGAATCTCAGATTTGCCTCCCCCACCATTTGGTTGGTGAAGTGGAGCTGGGACTACACGGAGGTGTTTTTTTTTCCCCCCTTGCTTTGAAAATAACACATCTTAAAAGCTGAATTCTTAGGAAAACCACTGATATTTCCTACTGCTTGAGAAAAAAAGATGTTGGCAGTTGGCAAGCATAGAGACCAGGCGGATATTTTGCTTGTTAGTGTTGGGCCTTGAACATTTAAATGCTACCCAGATTTATCGCATAACATTTATTAATTTCCTAACCATCCGTCCTAGTTGAAAGACTTTCAGAATGATTTTTAAGGTCTTGTCACTTAACAGTGTTGGCTGGGTTTCTTGTCTTGCAAGATACAGAGGTCATGGGACGCCTGGGTGGCTCAGTCGGTTAAGCGTCTGCCTTCAGCTCAGGTCATGATCCTGGGGTCCTGGGATCGAGTCCCGCGTCGGGCTCCCCGCTCTGCGGGGAGCCTGCTTCTCCCTCTGCCTCTGCCTCTCTCTCTCTCTATCTCTCATGAATAAATAAATAAAATCTTTAAAA